TCTCACTCAGCCAGTGATTCTACTCATAGAGTACAGCCTAGTCTACATCCCTCTTCCTCTCAGCTGAAGGGGTGAATATCCCTAGCTGGTAGTCTACCTATGATAGGCAACATACATAGTGATCAGCCTTTACTACAGGCTAGCCACACACTGCTCGGAAGCTATCAACTTACCAACAGGTAACCACCGAGGAGGCTATGGCTTTGGTCTGCCAAAAACCTATCTAAAAGGACAGACCATGACCACATCCTAAACAAACAAAAAAAAATATAATTACTCGTTAGCTATCCTAGCTAATTAGGGAACCTGACTAAACTCTAACACTTTATTTCATCGACCCTAAACTGGCTGAACGACCCTATCAAACTTCTAAACATTGCTACAAAACTGTTTCCCTAAACTCCCTAAACCTAAGCTATCTCCAACGTGCATGCTGCCACAACGACGACACAGGCTTGAACATCCATCGGACGATCACTGGGTTACATCACTATTGATCTCCCAGCTGCCTTAGTCCTCATTTTGCAGCTATCACGTTCCATCAGCTTCACTTACTATCTTTAACCAAACAAAAACCAACCCACATATAACGCTAACAACATATTCTAACTACATATATGGGATGAGAGTATACCACACTCTAATAATTAAATAAATATATTTTCCCCGAATGCAGACAGTTGTTGTTCATCTTGAAGAGTGAGCACGAACTATGCACATATACTGGATAATATATCTATCAAATTAAAAAAGGGAAAAAGAAAAATTAAGTTAAATCTTTCTACGATATTCCATCATCATCCTCCCGTCATTCCAAGTCTGCATTGCCGGAAAATAATAAGGCCTCTTAAAATTTTTCACTCATTGTGGTTCCACATGAAAAATAAATATACAAGATTAATTAACTTAGTAGAAACTAAGAACACATTAAATTATCTCCTAAAGAACTTTTTCATCCTATTCACATGGACTAGATCCTGCCTACACAATCTATTCCTATTTACATCTACTTTTCTCACAATATAATTAACCCTACTCAACCAATTCACTACCCTAAGCTTCGCGTAACATACCTCTTAGATAAAGCAACTCTGTTTTTCTTGTCAAACATTCGCTTTTGCTTTAATTGTAAACCATCTACATATTCTTCACGAGAACTCATCGAAGCTGCTCGTTTTACGTAGTCTCTTCGCAAATTCGCCACATTACTTACGCGAAACGCGAACACGATTAGAAATGTCGCTTTCCGAATTGTATTTTATATATATTTTCGGCAAAGCATTTTTATAATTATTTATATCTAAATCCCGTTTTTGACGCAATTGACACGTCTTATCACTCACGTCAACATTACTTATCATCTCTGGCAAAACCGAGAAGCCATCCAAACTTTTTGATACGGTTTTCAAAGGAGACTTTTCCTTCTTTGGTCCAATATCTATCATGGACTTAGAAGAAGAAATTTTATTGTCAATTTCCACTTTTGACAACTCGAGATTACACTTTTCCAAAACATCTCGACCCAGAACCAAATATTTTTCAAGATCGTCTACAACCAGCAACTTCGAAGGATATTCCCTTCCATTAATCATTAACGACACTTTGGTGGACGACTGCACATTTATTGGCGTTGCACCCACTGTACGTAATGGAAAACTTGGACTATCATCGATACGTAAATGTAACTTTTCCGCAAAATACCGAGATATTACTGAAACTGAAGCATTAGTATCCACCAACGCCTCGCAACACACATCATTAATAAAAACAGATATAAAAGGTGTCCTATCTACACTAGACCTATCAAATGTAGACAAATTTTCTACATGTTCAGTTGCGCTTTCCTGACAATCACGTTGAGGAGATCCCGGCGAAGATCCACTGCTATGTGCTCGTGAATACCCTTGACTTGGCGTATCCTGATGCACAATTGGTGCTCGTGGCACTAAATACTCCGACTGTTTAGACTCGGGTCTAATTATCGGTGCAGAGACATCCTGTGTTTGCCAACAGCAAGAATGCTCCATATGACAATTCATTGGCAATTCAATATCTCGTCTACTTCCATTATAATTGTGATTAAATATGTCATCTACTTGGATAATTGTTTTCCTTAACTCCTCTTTCGATACATACAAATTGCTAGCCAGCATCCATTTAAAATTGGGTATCAAAGATTTCAAAAAATGCTTAATAAACTGAACATCTTGAATGTTCGCTTTCATCGCTAACTCATTTAAACTATAAAAATAACTTATCAGCGATTCATTAGGCCTCTGTCGCTTATAATAAAATTCTCGTGCGTAATCTATTTGTGAGGGAAATTCCTCTCGTAGCTTCTGTGCAATCACATCATACGTCATGTATGAAGAAAAATACGTTTTGTACCATTGTAGAGCTGGCCCCTCCAAATACAATGCAAACACGTATTTCTTCTGCACATCAGACCAATTATTTAATATACTAATGGTCTCAAATTGATTCAAAAACTCGTCAACGTCGTTGAATCCATTAAACTTTTGTGCCGACATACTATATATATTTTTCTCCTCGCACTTTTCTCTGGCACCAAATATAAATCAATATTAAATAAGTAAAAAAAATATAAATTACGACCTTTGTTACGTTTTCGTTGTGGTTGTGTCGTAAAAACATATAAAAATATTTTCCAACGGAGTTCTCTTCATTGGAACTTTTTCATCATATATCATATTGGGATCCGTGCCTCCACCATTTATAATAGAATCCGCGCCTCCACCATTTATAATAGAGGGCTGTAGCTCAGACGCATTGCGAGAGGTACTTTTAATAATATAAAACCGGGATCATTTTAAAACTTTGGTTTATTTTACCAATTTACATGTTTAGGGTTACAAATCAATAATCTTACTATTAATGTCAAGATCTTCTATTTTCTTAACATTCTTTTTCAAAGCATTCTAATTATGAATCTCACTCAGCCAGTGATTCTACTCATAGAGTACAGCCTAGTCTACAGTACGTAGATAGAAATATCCATACAAATATTATTAATACATAACAATATATAAATAATAATATTAAATGCTTATATACTTAATAAAATACTGAGAATACATCGTTAATTTATAGATGGAATAAAAAATTGACGCTATTATCTTTTTTAAGCTGCATTAAAATAGGTCTTCTTCATAATGATGTTGCTAAATATTATCTAAACTGTGAAAATTTGGACAAAATGAGACTTATACCAAATTTGCAAAGGACTGTAGATTTAATAAGGAATTACAGCTTACACTATATTAAACAATCTAGTACGGAAATTATAAAACTTTTGCTTAATTTCTGTTTTATTATTTCTTATGCAATATTTCACTAAACATATAATAAATTCGCACTAGCTTACTCCAATTCCTTTTTTACGCACACTACTCATAGCCCCGCACTAGGGAAACCCT